GCATAAATTTTAGCACTTAATCTTTTAAAAAAAATTTAGTACACGATGTTGTAAAAGGTAAACTTTTATTTCTTAAATTTTACAATATCTAAAATAATCCCAATTTGTAATACCAACAGGTCCTTCTTCAGCTTAACCAGCCCGAAGATAAGGTGTTATTCTGGCCAGGCACATATTCTTGTTTGGCTACTCATTTCTACAAAATGTTAAACTTTTCTCAAGGTTGATGGTCAGCTGAGGCTTGTACTCAATGGACTGTGTAGAACAGCTTAATCATTTTTAGGAAGTTCATTCTTGAGTTTGCAGACACTATTTATCAGAAGCTTGATTGAAAGAAACTGTCTTGAGGGAGGGGATGCTCAGGACACAGTTATCCTGTTTTCTATAAATGCTGAAATATCCCATTGGGTCAAGCCAGATCGACCAAGACCTGGGTACCCAGATTACATCTTACTAGCTCCAGTAGAATTGGGTTTCTAGAATTGAGTTTTGGTACAGTGCCAGTAGCTCAGCTTCAGAGTTGTTGATAAGATGTAGCCCTTTTTGTCTATTATAAGGATGTTAAGGATTCTATTGAATAGCATTCTCAACAAAAGAAATTCCTATCTGATCTTAGTACTAAAACCTCAGTTCTAATGGCTTATCTGTTCTTATCTCATGAGCACTGTGAGGTGTTTTGCAGGAAGTGTTTCCCTTTTTGAATTTGCTTCAAGAAAAGAATTAAATTCATACTCCTCCCATAGATATGTATCTTTGTTAATGTTTTTATTAAAAAGTGGATGTAGATTTCTATCTAATATAGAAGTGTAAAGTTAAAACTAGCAGTTTGGTATATATGCAATTATGCAGTACCACATGTATGATTATTTTATGTTTTCAACCCCAAACCACATTATATCATACATTCTGTTTTGCAGTTTATTTCACATGATGCCTTGAATACATCTGACAAATACTCATATCTAAATTACCATAGTTTGTTGCTTCTCCTTGATTTGAGCTAATGTGTCAACAGTGACACTGTGCTCACTGTCAGCACAGTGAGAAGACAAACTTATGTCTTTACTAACACTATGAAAATAGTTCTGACCTTGTAGATCCCCAAAAAGTCATCAGGGTTCTCCAGAGGTCTGTAGTTCATGGTTTGAAACCACTGACTGAATAACTGTTTCTGGAGTTCTGTGACATGCAGAGAAGGGCTTTATCTATTCCAGTATTTTAAAAATGACTCCTCTCTAGTATTTTCATGTTTTTATTTTATTTT